GCAGAGGTTGGGAAACGTCTTCTGTAAAGGGGAAGATGGTCAGTATTTTAGGCTTTGTGGGTCACGCAATAATGGTCGACTCTGCCACTGTAGCACAGATGCAGCCATAGACAATGTGCAGTTGAATGGACATGCCGTGTGCCAATAAAACTTTATTGACCAAAGTAGCCAGCAAGTGAGATTTGATCCTCAGTTCATGATTTATGGACCTCTGCTCTTAAGGCAAGGAATACTTGGGTTACTACTTTTTCTGTGGGATTGTGAGGGTAAGGGCCCTATCTCTGTCACTTCTGTATCCTTTGGGACTTAGCAGGTGTTCAGTTAATATTTTCTGAATTGTTGCTCCCCACACCCCTCTATCCCATGGAGAACAAAGGCAGTGGTGTGCGTGTCCCAGAATCTGCTAGAGAAGGCATCTTGCAAGAGTTGCTGGGAGATGGGCTGCAGTACAGAACAAAAGCAGAGAGACCTTCACCCTCTTCGCTCCTTTTCTCCCCTACCCGGCTCACTCTAGAAAGTTCTCTGGGCTGAAGGAGCTAATGTGAACAAATCTCCTGGGGCTGAGTGGGTGAGAGGCAGACCTGACAAACTGAAGGCTCCAATGTGGGCTCCTCATCATCTGCAATATTCCACGACCACGATTAGGCAGAGCCGGTGAGGGAAGGCTGTAGCATCTCCCAACACCTCTTTCCCTTCTCTCCATTCTTAGTCTCTGTATGTGCTCTTTAAGCCCTTCATTTTGGAGAGCCCCAGATCAGAGCCCATGCCCCTTCCTCCCCATGTGGGCGCTGTGCTGCATTAGGCTGCCCGAATCGAATGGGTAATGGGGCTGCGCTGGCTTGGGGAATCGGGAGCCCATGGCGTACTAGTCCTGGCTCTGCTAACTGGCCCAGTGCCCTTGGCAGTGGCTTCTTTTCTCCGGGGCTCCCCCAGCTGGTCAATGTGGGTGTTGCTGGCTTTCTCCTCTAACTCTCAATCTGGTTACACTTACTGGGTACCTTCCCAGGAGCAGGCATTGCGCATGACTTCAGGGACAGAAAAGTGAATCAGAAGCACCTGTCCCTTGAGGAGTGCAGTCGCTCCTGGGAGATCTGGGGAGTTAAGCTGATGACTACCATGTGACCAAGGGTCTGCTTTGATGACAACCTGGCTTCGTAGGAAGCCAGAAGAGAGCGACCTTCCGACAGAAAGTTGGGAGGAGGAAATGATGTTGGGGATAAGGTTTGAGTGAAGAGGAGGCTGTGGGCCCAGCAGGACCACAGGAGCTTAGCAGCTAGCTTTCCGGGGTTGGATGGAGAGAGGGAAGGCAAGGGAAATCATATCGAGGGGTATTTTAGTTCAGCAGAAGGGATGACTTTCTACCAGCAAGGGCTATCTCACACACCAAAGAGAGAAGAAGCCTGCACCTCCTGTCGGTGAATATAGATGCACACCCGTTCAAAAGGAAAAAGTGCATCGAAGCTTGGAGGGCTGTGGCCCGCGGCCTCAGTCATTCCTGTCCTGTCTGCTGAGCCAGCTTCTACCTTGGTTCCAGTCCTTCTCCGTTTTGGAGTCACGGACTCCACAGACAGAATAGCCGGCCACGGGCAACCCCTGACCCAGGAACAGATGTAGATGTGGATGCTGATAAGGCCTGAGGGCCTCACTCTGACCTCTGACCCTCGGCTTGTCTCTCCTGGACCCTCTCATCAAAGCCGGTCTCCCTACAGCTGCTGGGCTCCACCCCACTGCTTCAAATGTTGTACTGGGCCACAGTCACGTTTGCAAAGCAGACGCCAGCTACGTGCCCTGTCCTGCCAAAAGACACACACTCCCAGATGCCCAAAGGTTGCATCTAATTCATGGGGTTCGCAGACCTCCTGACCCCACATGCAAATGCCAGGACCAGAACCTCGGCTCCAACCAGTCCCGCTGGCTGCTGCATTCCCCAGTCCTTGGGTAGTTTCCTTCCGCCGTGACTGTTATTCTAGGAGCCCAGGCCAGGCAGGTGGTTGCCACGCTTCCTGAGTGCCCACTCTGTGCAGTGGGGGCGGGAGAAAGTGCACCAAAAGAATAGACACTAAATGAGGCAAAGATCGAGACCCCAGGCTGAGTTCAGGTGAACTCAGACAATGGTCTCCAATTGGGAGGATTGGGGTAAGCTTTTTGGGGGGAACGGGAACTGGCTATTCTGGAACTAGGGACATGTGGGGGAGAGGACACTGCAGAAAGCTAGGACAACTGAAGCAAGGCGATATACGATAGGGTGTGAGCAGTTTGGCCGGAGCACAGGTGTGAAGCCCAATGGAAGAAGCTAGAAAGGTGGCCTGGGCAAAGGCCGTGACGGACTGGCTGTGGAGTGTGGTCAGGAGAAAATTGGAAGCCAATTAAGTGTTTTGGGTAGAGGAGAGTCAGGATCAGGTCCGTTTTAGGAAGGACGCTCTGGCTGCGCAGATC